CTCCTCCTCCCCAGTCCTCCTCCTCCTCCTGGGGCCTTTTCCTGGGTCCTCCTCCTGGGTCCTCCTCCTCCTGGGTCTTCCTCCTCCTGGGTCCTCCTTCTCCTTCTCAGTCCTTCTCCTCCTCCTCCGGACAAAAACGGACAAAAATGGACAAAAACGGACAAAAATGGAAATAACATTTAGATGCTTCCTCCTCCTACTCTTCCTCCTCCTCCCCCTGGGTCTTCCTGATCTTCCTCCTCCCCTCCTCAGTCCTTCTTCTACTCCTCCTCCTCGTCCTCAGTCCTCCTCATCAGTCCTCAACAGTCCTCCTCCTCCCCAGTCCTCCTCCTCCTCCTCCTGAGTCCTCCTCCTGGGTCCTCCTCCTCCTCTTCATCCTCCTCCTCTTCCTCCTCAGTCCTCCTCCTCATCCTTCTCCTCAGTCCTCCATCCTCCTCCTCAGTCCTCCCCCAGTCCCCCTCCTCCTCCTCCTATTCAGTCCTCCTCCTCCTCCTTCTCAGTCCTCCTCAGTCCTCCTCCTCCTCCTCCTCCTCTTCCCTCTCAGTCATCCTCCTCAGCCATCCTCCTCAGTCCTCCTCAGTCCTCCTCCTCAGTCCTCCTCCTCCTGGGTCCTCCTCCTCTTCATCCTCGGTCCTCAGTCCTCCTCCTCCTGGGTCCTCCTCCTCATCCTTCTCATCAGTCCTCCTCCTCCCCAGTCCTCTCCCAGTCCCCCTCCTCCTCCTCCTCCTATTCAGTCCTCCTCCTCCTCCTTCTCAGTCCTCCTCAGTCCTCCTCCTCCTCCTCCTCCTCTTCCCTCTCAGTCATCCTCCTCAGCCATCCTCCTCAGTCCTCCTCAGTCCTCCTCCTCAGTCCTCCTCCTCCTGGGTCCTCCTCCTCTTCATCCTCCTCCTCTTCCTCCTCGGTCCTCAGTCCTCCTCCTCCTGGGTCCTCCTCCTCATCCTTCTCATCAGTCCTCCTGCTCCCCAGTCCTCTCCCAGTCCCCCTCCTTCTCCCCCTCCTATTCAGTCCACCTCCTCCTCCTCCTTAGTTCTCCTCAGTCCTCCTTCTCATTTCTCCTAAGTCCTCCTCCTGAGTCCTCCTCCTGAGTCCTCCTCCTCTTCCTTCTGAGTCCTCCTCCTGAGTCCTCCTCCTCCTCCCTCTCAGTCATCCTCCCCAGTCATCCTCCTCAGCCATCCTCCCCAGCCATCCTCCTCAGCCATCCTCCTCAGTACTCCTCAGTCCTCCTCCTTCTCAGTCATCGTCAGTCCTCCTCCTCAGTCCTCCTCAGTCCTCCTCCTCCTCCTGGGTCCTCCTCCTCCTCCTCCTCCTGGGTCCTCCTGGGTCTTCCTGATCCTCCCCAGTCTTCTTCCTCCTCCCCTCCTCAGTCCTCCTCCTACTCTTCCTCCTCGTCCTCAGTCCTCCTCATCAGTCCTCAACAGTTCTCCTCCTCCCCAGTCCTCCTCCTCCTCCTGGGGCCTTTTCCTGGGTCCTCCTCCTGGGTCCTCCTCCTCCTGGGTCCTCCTCCTCCTGGGTCCTCCTTCTCCTCCTCAGTCCTTCTCCTCCTCCTCCTCAGTCCTCTTCCTCCTCTTCCTCCTCCCTCTCAGTCATCCTCCTCAGCCATCCTCCTCAGCCATCCTCCTCAGTCCTCCTCCTTCTCAGTCCTCCTCCTGAGTCCTCCTCCTCCTGAGTCATCCTCCTCAGTTCTCCTCCTCCTCCTCCTAGGTCCTCCTTCTGGGTCCTCCTCCTCCTCCTCCTCCTGGGTCTTCCTGATCCTTCTCCTCCCTCTCAGTCATCCTCCTCAGTCATCCTCCTCAGTCATCCTCCTCAGCCATCCTCCTCAGCCATCCTTCTCAGCCATCCTCCTCAGTACTCTTGAGTACTCTTCAGTCCTCAAAATGTTTGTCCGCTAATGTCCACCAATGTCCGCTAATGTCCACCAATGTCCATCCAAGTCCGCCAATGTCCGTCCGGGTCCGCCAATGTCCGTCCTAGTCCGCCAATGTCCGTCCGAGTGGGGGGTACCAATGGCATAAATGGCATAATGGAGAATTGGCCAATAAAAATTTCCATTTATGCCATAAAACGTATGCCATTTATGCCATTTTTGATATAATACATTTCTAGTTTATTTATTTGTCATATGAATCTTTAACGATCATTCCAAGCGTTATAAAGCATGAAACATGTCTCTTATTCAAGTACTAATAATAATTTGCGAATTTAAAGTCAAATATGAAGACCTAAATTCATGGCATAAATGGAGAATTGGCCAATAAAAATTTCCATTTATGCCATAAAACGTATGCCATTTATGCCATTTTATGCCATTGGTACCCCCCCGTCCGAGTCCGCCAATGTCCGTCCGAGTCCGCCAATGTCCGTCCGTGTCCGCCAATGTCCCAAAAAACACGTCCGTTGTCTCATAGAATCCAAAAAGGACAGGACATAGGCGGACATAGACGGACATGACACCCCCCCCCATAAAGAATAAACTCGTTTTGCTTCATATCTCGGTCATCTGAGAAGCTACAGTAATTCGAATGGCCAAACACAATTCAATAAAATTTAGCTCGATCCGACTATCCACACTATCAAATAAATGCAAAAATGAACCTTCATTTGAAAAAAATGAACTCTAATATTTTTCGATTTGACAAATTCCTCGAACCAGTGGTAGTAGTAAGTCATACCAGAAAAAATTATTTCAATTGGGCGCTCAGTGACTGAGCTATTAAGGCCAACGTATGCCCACTGACTTTTGGCCCACCCTGTACATCAAAAGCATCTGAATGGATACAAGATCAGTTTTATTCCAAGAGGTTGATAAAATTAAAAGAAAGATATAAAAAGAGGTGGAAAAACAAACAGATATATTATTGATAAGGACTAAGCAATTAGTATTGTGGGACGTGGATTATTGATTATACTTGCCCCTACTTATCAAAAGGATGGGAACTCAAGGACCAAGATTAAGGGGGCAGGGGGTATGTTTGAAATTCCTCTCGAAATTGATTTTATGACTGTTTCTAATAGAGGGGAGTGATAACTATCTGCTGCTTTTGGTCCTATGGAAAAATATTGTTCATAGCCGAAGTTGTCGCTGGCCAAAGGTCAGTGCTCATGTGTAATTGTATTGCGCAAGCGATTTTCAATCGCGCGTACTGAAAATCGAGTCTAAAATTCTATCATCTTCGGCAGTTTTTGAGAAAAAAAATGTAACATCCCAATGGACCCAGATTTGAACTTTTTTGCAGGAGTGTCTTGCATCAAAAGTTTTTGTTTGGTACCGTCCTCAACTGAACAATCTGAACTGGCATTCAAATTGTCATAAACCTTTTGTCTAAGCAAGAATCTGGCACTGTTGGAATTCGAGGAACTGACCTTGACCGCTTGCGCTAACTGAGATTTATCTTTGTCATTCATTCTCTCGATCTCTCACGATAGGTTTGAATCCTATTTCCTCCACAAACGTTACGTCAACTGGAGCCACAACCTGTTCCATAGTTTAGAGAGCTAAATATTCGCTCTACCCAGCAAAACTTGATAATATCTTCGTTGTGCACACCTGCCATATCATAGCACTACACACTCACAGGCAGGAAAGCTTGTGAAAAGAGACGAGATGAGCAAGCTGATAAGAGATTTAACATACGTAAGCTATTATATTAGTATTTAGTATAGAGCTGAGAATGAAAACTTGTATTTTAGGGCTGAGAATGGCTATTATTGTAGGACTTAATGTGAAATAAATTTAGGGCTGAGGAATTTAGTTTTCTGTTAGGGCTGTTTCAGATATGCTACCAGTAACGCAGTTGAGACGCAGTAAAAATGTGGTAAAAACTTAGTTTTAATCCTTCAATTGTATATGTAGTTATTAATTTCGACCATTCTTTGACAGTAGCATACCTGATATTGCATGTTAATGTTATTTCACACAGAAGAACGTGGTTCCTGATCACTTCTTCCAAGATGACTCTGTATGATAATATTATTATTTTATTATTATTATTTTATTATTATTTTATTCTTATTTTATTTTTGAATAAAAAACCAGTTTTAAAAATTTCTTGACATACCTCCTGCCAAGGCCTGTGCTGCGGTCGAAATCTCTTTATATTGATTTCTGATGTGCCTTTCTCTGGTTTAAGAGATCTGAATTTGTGACTTACCAAGTCACCTGGTTATTGTCTTGCTGGTGGCCAGTAGCTACCACTGATCTGATTTGAAACTTTCATCGAATAATACAGAATTATGCAGCAATGAACTTATATTCAAAAACAATGGCAACACAGAATGTTTAGGTTGGAAAAATGCTCAGACTGGTTTGGGCAGGCACAAGTAAACAGGATTTGACTGTACTATATAATGATCTAGGGGAAACCAGTAAGGTCCATGTTAGAGCACACTGTTACTCTGGCCCCATCATTCGTATGTTATGGCAGCACTAAACATTCAGTCTACTATTTGGGTTAGGCAGCTAGAAAGTGCAAGCGTAAACAAACTTTGTCGGATCGACCATATTCTCCACTTTCTAATCCTAATTTCTTTGAGGATAACATTGTCATCATAAACTGATGGAGTGATTTAAAAGAAGTGAAACCTCAAGCAATATAATCGGTGATATCTAACAGCTTAGATGCATAATCAAGGGTTTCTTAACTGAAGTGACGAAAATAGTATTTGTACACAAACAATTTCTTTTCATTTCCATTTTATCAAGAAGTTCAGTTTGGTTAGGTGCTGATAATCAGAGCTCTATTATCTCTACATTATAACTAATAACTGCTGCTGTGCTGGTACTTGCTTTCCAACTGATAGCAAGTACATGATGGTAGACTTATATTTTAACGATTGTCAGCTTGCTCAACGTTTTTGAGGCCGACATGTGAAATTTAAATGTATTTATGTGCATGTATGATTATATTATTACTACTAAAACTTCTAGGTGACGACTGACAAAGTGTTTTAATTTCTATCATTGCATTGTTATACCTTGACTAAAGTTTTAAATCTGCAGTGTCCATCACAAGCCATGTCAGCTATGATGCGTCGGGCTCATGGAAGTACCAGCCATGCTCAGCAGGAAAAATTGAGAGCAGAAAATCGGAGGCGCGAAGAGTTCATTGAAGACAACAATCGCATGCTGAAGACAGAATGTATGATAAATGCTAACATTCTTGCAGAAGAAAAAGTTGACAGCAAGATTTTAATCAGAAGACTACAAAGAGAAGCCCAGGAAGTTGAAATGGATAAAGCTTTACAAGAGGTATAGGTCACTCAAATCTCCCTATATATCTGTACATGTACGATAAAAAAGAAGCCTTAAATTCGTAATAAACGGTCAACTTCGCTATTTTCAATTGAAACAAAATATGGTGTAAATTGTTTCTGTTAGTTCTTATGTATAAGAACTAACAGAAACAATTTATTGTTTGTAGTGTCTTACAATAGAATACATCTTCTGTATACAGACACTACAAACAATAATTTCAGAGCCAAACAGCGAAAGCAACACGTGAGCAGCAACTCCAGCAAGAGGAGGAGCTTGCCCGGGAGATGGCATCTCTGCGAACCAAAGAGATGCAAGACAGCAAGTTGAGACAGCAAATCAGGGAGACTAGCCACGAGATAAGAGAGTTGGAGGCAAAGCTGAAAGCTGGTTACATGAACAAGGAGCGTGCAGCACAGATGGCTGAGAAAGAAGCTAGACGACAAGAAGAAAAGGTTTGTATTGTTAAAGAGTTACAAAAAGTGATCATATAATGTTTTCAATATGAATGCAACTGATTTGAGGAGTTTCCCATATTCATGGCAATAGTCCTATTGCATGGCTGATCACAAAAATAGGGTAGAAGGCACATTTTTGTTACCAATATGCATACGTCAGGGTCATTTCTGTCTAATATCTAGAAAAATTCTAATATTGTGACATTGGCCACATGATTCATTCGGTATTAATATCTATGTTTAAAAAGTATTACGAGGAACAATTGGCAAAAACTCTCCAAGACGAATGGGAAAGAGCTCAGGAACTTGAAAGAGAGCAAGAGAGACTAAAGTAAGTTAATTATGTAAATTAAGTTAATGTAAAGTAAGTACCCAAATTATGTTAAATTAATTTGTGTTATTTGTAAATCTGGCTTCCTCTTAAATTATAGATTCAAGCATTAGGATTACCGAAGCTAGTAGCTAAGTGATCTATTGACAGATTCATAGGCAAAACTTTGTATATTGATTTGTTGAAGACTACGAGTGAATCAACTACAGGTGGGAGTCGAGTCAAATGTACCAGCAACAGTTGGAGTATCAACTTGCTGAACAAGAGGAAGCTAAACGGAAGGCATATGAGGACTTCCTTCGAGAGAAACTTCTCATTGATGAGATCGTTAGGAAGATATTTGATGAAGATTTAAGAGAGACAGAGGATAGACTCAAAAAACAACACCAGGTTTGTTTGTTGTAAAGTAAGAGTTATAATGCAATTCTTCTTGATAGCGTTATTATTATCAAACATTAAAATGTTTAGCGGGTATGAATTATCTTTCTACCTCAACATACCATGCTAAATATGAGAGAATAGTGTACAAAAATTACACTCAAATTCTTCAGACACAAGAATTCATCGAGGAATTCAAGAAAGCTCGAGAAATGTGGAAAGAAAACGAACGTCTGCAACTTGCAGAGGAGAACAGAAGAATTCTGGAGTTTGCCCAGCAGCAACAGACACGAGAAAGTGACAGAATGGCAGTAAGGATTGCTGAGGAGGAAGCAAAGGCCCAGGTCAGAAATGACCTGGCTAACAAGCTTGCTAAACAAAACCAAGACAGAGATGAACTTCAACAGTACGTTATTACTTAAAGCATGTTGTATTATAGTTACTTATTAGTTGTCTGGTGCTGTTCATCATTTCAAGTAATCTACGGAAAGGATCCATAGAGCCACGATTGTTTCGTGCCTGACTGCTGAGCACTACTTATAAAATGATAAATAAAATCCCAAATTTCTCGATCAGTTTACAATGTATGTGGGATCTAGTTCACTCTTGCCAAGTTTCATAAGTATCACATGAAATCTGTCTGTGAATCTTCGGACAGAAGATTTAAAATTTAATTCGATTAAGAAAATCAATAACCTTATTATATAATAAAGGTTTTTGAAAAACAAAAATCAATTGCAGGATCCGAGACGAACTGGCATGGGAGGAAGAAGAGGAACAAAACAGACTTCGAGAAAGGGTAAACCGTTTGATATTAATTTATAACAATTTAGAACATAATATGATCTATTATGCGCAATAATTGTTAATTTTGTTGATTTTTACTTAATCACTCACTTGGATTTTGCCATTGCGAAAATTCGAAAAAATTCTGATTCCTCTCCAATTCACCTTTTGAATCTCAAACAGATGATGGCGGAAATGGAATTAATTTGCCGTCATTTCTTAATGAATCACTTTTGTGGTCTGTGTTCCCTTTCTAACAGATATCTAGCAAGAATTTTATGAATTATTGTATTAAAACAGTAGGAGATGGTAGTCTGAACTTTATTTATTTAGGCCATTTTTAAAATTTACTGTTCGTTTGCTTACGTCAACAGACAAAATGTCTCAGGCTAGTAGCTTTCTGGTAATTGATAATGGAATATTTGACGGTTGACCTAGCTGGTAAAAATCTTTATCGCCTTAAGTGATTAAGTGATTATACCTCGAATTGGCCTAGGCCCAACGCATTACTTAAGAACAGGCTAAAGACCCAAAGTTTGAAAATTATCTACCTATTTTGTAGGCCTTTATGGAGTATATTTTGGATATCCTGAGTTTGTGGAATTTGGCAAAGTGTCGAGTATCTTTTACCTATTAAAATGTACTTAGTGAATTCATTATTTTAAATATAAGAGATCAAATCGAAAGAAAATAGACATCTCCGGAATCACTAATGAAATATGAAAGATAGAGTCATGTTTGCATTAATGGCCTAGGTCAGGTAACTATAGTTACTAGTCTCGTACGGTATTGTTCCTAAATCTCCTCACTTAACTAGTATAGTTAGAGCATTATGAATATTTTCTGTAATGTGTTGTCCGTAGTCACATGCACCACCCCAGAGACTTGTGAAAGTAGATCTGATGGGCACAAACTTTTAAAATTTATTTCTGCCATTAGGAAGGCACTCAGGAGCTTGATAAGGGGTGAAAAATTACTGAAATGAAATTAATTTTAGAGATATCTTTGGGGTGGTTCCTTGAACTATGGATAACACATTCCGGCACAGAAAGATCGTGTAATTAAGTTCATTATTGGTATATTTAATTATTGGTATATTTAATTATTGGTATATTTAATTAATGTTTTCTGGTTCATATCCATTACCATTCATTTAGTTCTACCGGTACACTAGGCTGCTGTTTTAGCTACTAATAAAATAATGATTGAGTTTGTAGCGTATATATGACGCTTTGCCCTTGTCAGAGGGTCTATCATTATGAGTTTAGATTGAAATTGGCTAATCTCCTCTGAATTGAATACAAATAACACACGTTAGTGCCGACGTTTCGCCTCCATGGCTTCTTCAAGGCGGAACAAAAACTTTGTTACATAGTGACCTGGTAAATATCCAAATTAATACATAAAACTCTGAGAAACATTGAAAATAAAATGGGAAGATTCTAAGCGGTAGAAAATTTCAAAGCAAAAGATAGATGTTAGGCCAAAGAATCTAGAACTGTCCAATATTTGAGAGCTAGACCAACGTACACAAACCAGCAACAAAAATAGCTTCCTACTCCCTAACATTTTCGGGGAAACTGAAAGGATGCCACGTACATAAATGTTGATGACATTTACATGATAGCCCATGTGGTCTTTTGCCACGAGTCTGCTTCAGGTGAGAGCTGAGTGTTTATTTTAGGAAGTAACTGCTTGATATACAGTGATTGCCAGATCATTCGGTCTGCATAATCCTTACATACTTTGAGGACTTCAAATTTAAATGGTTCGATAGGAATTTCTTTTATTTCAGGGTGTGACATGAGATAATGTTTCCCCATGGCCGTCTTGTTATTTTTATTCCTTACAGATTTTAGGTGTTCCCAGCATCTGTTGCGTTTGAACCTGCCTGTTTCACCACAGTACTTTGCATTGCAGATATTACAGAAGAACATAGCGTACAAACTGACATGTAATATCTGCAATGCAAAGTACTGTGGTGAAACAGGCAGGTTCAAACGCAACAGATGCTGGGAACACCTAAAATCTGTAAGGAATAAAAATAACAAGACGGCCATGGGGAAACATTATCTCATGTCACACCCTGAAATAAAAGAAATTCCTATCGAACCATTTAAATTTGAAGTCCTCAAAGTATGTAAGGATTATGCAGACCGAATGATCTGGCAATCACTGTATATCAAGCAGTTACTTCCTAAAATAAACACTCAGCTCTCACCTGAAGCAGACTCGTGGCAAAAGACCACATGGGCTATCATGTAAATGTCATCAACATTTATGTACGTGGCATCCTTTCAGTTTCCCCGAAAATGTTAGGGAGTAGGAAGCTATTTTTGTTGCTGGTTTGTGTACGTTGGTCTAGCTCTCAAATATTGGACAGTTCTAGATTCTTTGGCCTAACATCTATCTTTTGCTTTGAAATTTTCTACCGCTTAGAATCTTCCCATTTTATTTTCAATGTTTCTCAGAGTTTTATGTATTAATTTGGATATTTACCAGGTCACTATGTAACAAAGTTTTTGTTCCGCCTTGAAGAAGCCATGGAGGCGAAACGTCGGCACTAACGTGTGTTATTTGTATTCAATTCAGAGGAGATTAGCCAATTTCAATCTAAACTCATAATAAAATAATGGTTTGCAATCAGTCGAACCAGTCTGCTTTGTATGATAAAGCTTTTTGTCTGACGACTTAATATTTATATTGAGATGCAGTAAAACTAGCGGGCTGCATTGAATGGGGACTTTACATAATTCGATCCGTAATATAATTTCTAGACAAATTGCGCCATTGACGTCATATGTCTTGATATTATGAAGGAGCAACAATCAAAGTTGTTGCAGCAGTATCCTACTCGGGGCGAGCCAACAGGCAGCGCCACTGCTTTTTGGTGGCGTCTTCTGGCAGATTTTTACGCTTTCCATGTTTTTTTGTCCGCCAACCAAATGCAGAAAAGGGCAGGTATAGTAGAAATTTGAATCAAGCCGCTGTATTGATTGGTAATGGCTAATATTATTATTTACAATGTGAATTAGTTTGTATCCTCGATAAATTTTGATGAAAATCCTATATCTATAAATTTATTCGGTGCTTAACCAAGCGACAAGCTCCGTGGAACATGCCTATTGGCTATTATAAAGTTATGACAAGCAAGCAACTGATTCTTTGTGTCAGCGTGCTTTCGTGGCAAGTTCCGTTTAGAGACAGATACTAAATTTGTAACGCGCGGATACAAATCTTTGGGTAACGCGCAATTTCACGTACGTTTTTTATTTATTCCTTTCTTGTTGCCATAACAACGCTATGTTTGTCACGTCCTGACGGTATTGATATATTATTTAAAATTGTATGATTTAGACTACATAGATCACCAAAAGCTAGCATATCTCACCGATTAAACTTAGGCGGAACGAGAGCGACAGATAAGAATGCGATTGGAGCTGCAGGAGGTCGAGCGACAACAGTTACATGTTAAGCAAGTTAAGAAGCATGCTGAAAAAGAGGAAGACGACCGATTCAGACAGGAGGTTAGTGAAATAATTAATTTCCAAAAATCCTCGTTCCTATATCGCTATGCTATGATTTACGTACGTACGTTTTGGTACGTTTTGGTGAGTTTGGCAGGGCGTGCTCAGGACAACTGCATCGAGTGCGTCCTCCTCCAGCTCAGCATTGAGTTATCGTTTGTCGGAGTGTATCCCGGAACCGGTGGTGTGTCTGGGTACTGTTCCATAAATCTGCCTAGACCAACTTTGAAACTGTCTAGCAATGTGATACTCCGGAGCTCCGATGGGAGCACGTTGAAGAGCTGAGCTGCTCTAACTCTAAAGCTGTTGTCGTAGTCTGTTCTTACCGACAACTGTGCGTTTTTGTTCATGGCTGGGATCTCTGCCTTAATACCATGCCTTTGATGAGACTTGAACTGGAAGCCCGTATCGTTCGGAGCATGTTCATTAAGAATTTTCCATACATGAATAATAGAATAACGCTCTCTCCGCCTCTGAAGGGACATCAACTTAAGCTTCTTCAGCCTGTCCCAGTACTGGAGATCACGGCAGCCAGATATCTTTCTAGTAAAGGATCTCTGTACAGTCTCCAGCTTTTGTATCTCTGTGACTTTTGTAGGGTTCCAGACTGGACAGCAGTACTCTAGCTTGGAGCGAACCATGCTTTTGTATAAAGTCAGCATGACTACTTGTGACCGGTCTCTAAAGGCACTCAATGTCCAAGCCGCCATTTTTCTAGCTCCTTGAACTGTCTTCTCAATGTGAGGACCCCATGACCTACTGCTGCTAACATACACTCCAAGGTCTCTGACAGTTTCCTGTGGTGATATTGCGTGTCCTTTTGGTGTAGTATACTCAACAGTCTCTGGGTAGAACGGGAGCTCTCTTAGAGCTTTTGATCCATTCAGGGGGTAGTTTACAACCTCAAACTTCTGTTCGTGTAGCTCCATGTTGTTAACACGTGACCACTCGATGACTATGTTGAGATCATCTTGCAGTAACTCCACACTACTCATTCCTCGGATAGCCCCAATCAGCTTTGTGTCGTCTGCAAAGCTGAATCCGTTACTATAGCTAATGCTGTTCAACAGATCGTGTTGACAAATAACTGCTCTCTATCTCTAAAGTCTAAATTATTAATTTACAGATGTTGGCTAAATTTGCCGAAGATGATAGAATCGAACAAATGAATGCACAAAAACGTCGTATGAAACAACTCGAACACAAACGAGCCGTAGAGGCCCTTATCGAGGATAGACGAAAACAATTCGAAGCTGAAAAGGTAAGTAACTCTTATTACAGATTGATATGTCTCATTAAAAAGTACTTTGTTGGATGCATCATATGAACCCTTGGTATAGCACTAAGACTGCCTGCCTAGGTCGATCCAGATGAAGTCTGGAACGACTTATCGGCACTATGTGCCCGATAAAATATCCAAAAATATAGCTATCTCTTGTCCACTGCACATGGCACAGTGGATAAAACATAGTCCAGTTTGGGCTTAATCTTGATAATAATAAACTCGTTATACCAATCAGGCGACCGAGATGGACGAGATGGAGCAAGAAAGGTCGAGGCAAGAAATGAGACAACAGATAATTGAAGAGGAAAGGCAGAAACTCCTTAAAGAGCACGCCAAGCTGCTCCTGGGCTTCATGCCAAAGGTATGCGAATTATTTGCAGGAATTCAGACGGTTGTGATGAATTCCAAAGCTTGTGCAATTGATTGCGATAATTAAAACGTAGGTTTAATCTTTCTTTTATTTTGTGGAAATTTTAAATCTACGAGAAAGATGTGAACCACGAATTTTTCAGGGGGTAATGAGAGACAGCAAAGACTTATCGCTCTTCGACGACGAATTTAGGACGAACTTCGAGCCTAAGGAAGTTGATTTCTTCGATGAAAAGAACTGGTGAACTGTGTATATCTATTGAATAACAATGCTTGAATGTGAAGTTGGACAAAAAAGATATTAAAATTACGACTACCTAATTTTAGATCATATTATGGTAGCTGGACTTCTGAACCTATTCGATATATTTGTCAAACGCTTTTGTAAACAAAACGTATCAATAAAGATCGAGTATAATTTGTTAGCAAAACCATGGATTCATGGAGTGTGGATCTGTTTCTGTTACAATTTTCTAAATACTTATGAAATAATAATCGCACAAATATTTGCCTCGCCTCGTGATAACCGTCATGAAAATCAAATTAATTTACGGATGTTTAAGTTAAGACTGGCACCGCTGCATTTGTATTTCTCCCACCAAATCGCTCGCCCAAATTAAAAGAATTGTTGATAGGCCCTGAGGGTATGAAAGTAAGGGACCGTTCACATATTACGTAATCACTTTTTTGGCCAATTTTTAACCCCCCCTCCCCCCTCCGTAATCAGATTTACACAGCTATTGTGTCTAAATTACACTAGCATAATCAAACCCCCTCCGTGATTACGTAATATGTGAACGACCCCTAACAATCGATGTATTTGTGGAAACTGACTCCGAATAACCCTCATGACGTAGGACAAAAATACTCCTCCAAGGAGTTTTGCGGTGACGCGAAATAATAATATGAGCCCATTTGCATGGCACCGGAAAGTTTTGTCACTCATATATGTGAATAAGCTCCACGTATTGTGACTTCTGTTTAATTATAATAGTTATTGTACGTGTAATTTATATTTAGGACTATTTTTCCCGATCCATGACTCAAAGTGCCGACGGCACAAAAGAGTCAAGGACAAGGGTTAGCGAACGAGGTTTTTTTTTGTATATGGTAGCTTTCGTCCGTACCTGCGAGCGAGCGTACGTGCCTGCCATGCCTGCCAGCGTACGTGTCGCCCACGTGTCTGCCTGCGCAAAGTTATTTTGCGCGAAAATCTGAATTAAACATTTGTTGGCGCGCGGTGCTGAAATGTTCAAGTACATTGTTAATTTCACCATGTACGCATCCCGCTAGGGACTAATTGATAGCATAGTATTATTATTTTGAGTTAGTATTATTATTTCACAGATCCGTGTCAGGTTGCATAAACAATAAACTTGGAGGACTTCGCCGCTTCGACGCGCCGCGCAAACTAGCATTCTTGCTTCGCATCGAATATATGGTTACATAGAAATATACACGATTTTCAAATTAAATATGGAATTATATCAACTGGGCGGCGCTCGGCCTGTCACTCCGCCATATCTGCATGCTTATAAACAGTAAAGACTGGGGTCCCCAGGTGGTATGGAATATGATCAAATACTCAATCATTACTGGGCCGCGCTCAGCCTGTCATTCCGCCTAATCTCTATGTCATATGTTAATGAACATAATAGCCTGGGGTCCCCAGGCCAGGTAACTCAATCACGGATCGGGAAATTGAGCGGCCATCCACAAAAGAAAAGCGGCTGCATTTCTTGTTACAAAAAGGATCGTGCCGGCCAAAAAGTCTGTTCGGCCCTATAGTAGAGGCTCTTACGGGCATTGTCTGCTCGATACGCTAGGGACCCCAGATACACCTTACTAGACGTATTTTTGACCGTAGAATCGATTAAAAGTAGTTCTAAGATGATTGGACTGATTTTTCTCGGCTAAAATCGCAAAAAACCGATTTTTGGGCCAAAAATAAGCCAAAAAACCATGTTTTTTGATATTTTGAGCAAGTTAATTTTGTTGGCATGTCGGCAAAACTTGCATGGAGATAGCTAAAAGACAGCCGCACAAGATGGTATAAAAATAAAACAAATCCCTCTATTTTTTCTGGGGTAAAAATCCAAAAAAGTGGTAAAAATTTTTGACTTTTTTGCTTGAAGTTTGAATAATTTTTTGCAGTTGTATTAAATCAACCCAAAAATAGTCACATCGTGTTTGCCTAAATTTTTCCTTTCCGAGAAGTACCCACTTCATATACTTTATCGAAGTTTGAATATTGTCACTCCGCAAGCGTTTTTGCCAAATTTTCGACGCGCACTACGCGCAAAAGCATTTAGTTGTTATCAATTGGCACCCGCGCGTTCATCATAAATTTCAAACAGCTATAACTCAGCGAGATTATGTCCGTTCTAGCTCATATTTTCACACCAAATAGAAAATAATGTGATCTCATTGCTGACAAAATATGAATATAATTACTCTATTTGCCTTAGAGTAATAGACTGTCAAAGTTTAAAACGCGCATTGGTATAGCACGTGACTAATAAGGCCAAATTTATACTTCTTAACATATTATCGATCCTTAGACATCATACTATTGTGTCCAATTAGCGGTTAGGTCTCTAAACTCGTAGCAGAAAACACGTCTTTTTGCCCGTAAGAGCCTCTACTACTATTACATATTATTATTAGTATGGTCGCAGGAGCTGAATTTCGCAAAATTAGGCCTGGACCAATTAGGGCTGATAAGGTAGTTTGATAATAGTTTAGGTTGTCTTAGACTTAATTGTGGGTGCTACATCCACTGTGATGTCAACCACAAAAGGTGAGCCTGCTACTCCCACTACAAGTACACTGTTTTCACTGTGTTATTGTTTGCCAGGGTGGTGATTGAACATTTTCTGCGATCAGTGGACTGTAATATAACATAGGTGGGAGTGCAAGTACTCTCAGGACAGTAGATGTGATGGTCACACAAATGTTGTCTGCTTTAACCATGCACAGTAATACGTGTCACTCAGTCGGTTCTGTTTCTAAAGCCCCCTCCCGGATTGCAACAATGCAACATTGCCATGTTACGAAAATAATCGCCGCACTAACAAAATATGCGCCTCTCCCTCTCCCTTTTATAGTCTTAATTAATTTGGTAAATAGATCAACACTACATTACACTTACAGCAGATCCAATGATCCATTCAAGATAACTTGATTCCAATCACAGTAATATGGACACCTATAAAGATCGAGACCGCAGGCTGGGAAGGATATCTCTTTACAGTAGAAGTTGGATGTCGTGGATTTTACCACCACACATTACCCCGAATTTTCAACTTCCTTAACATCACCCGGGCAAAGAAGAAGAGGGCACTTAACACAACAGCGGTGGTGTCCCTGAAAGGTTCCTACACTATCTGGCTTAGTCGCTACAACAAGACCTGGAGTGACAACTGGCAGCTGGCTGAAAGACCCTGCCCAGTTTAACCCTGATGAACAGCTGAACGTTGGGCCCTTAAAACGTCGTTGAAAGCTACATCTGGGGTCGTAAGTCCCAGACATCAGAAGAAGTCAGAGAGTGTAGAAGATTCTGCGTCTGAAAAGACTAGAGAATTGAGGTAAATATAGTTGGTTTGGTCTCGTGTAACTGGCCTACCGACAGTTGCGCCCGTTTCCCACACCTTAACAGACCATTAACAGGTTCCCAATCAGTGACTTGGAGGACTTCGACGCGCCGCGCGAACTAGCATTCTTGCTTCGCATCGTTGCTTCGCAGAGCAACGATCTCGATGGGTTGACATCGTCAACCAATCAGTGACGTGATCTGATTCGCCATGTCTTGTTATATAGCGCAATGCGTTACTGTGCCGCGCCGCGCGCACTCAATGAGGCTTCTCACAGCTTCTCTCGCTTTACCTGGGGACCTCAGGCTATCATGTTCATAAACATATATATATATATAGAGATTAGGCGGAATGACAGGCTGAGCGCGGCCCAGTACACAGTAACTCTCGCTAGATCGGCGAGATGCGCTACTGTGCCGCGCCGAGCTGCGATGAATTGACATCATCAATTAAGCCATGTCAGATTCTCAAAACGACAGTTGCGCCCAAGTGCACGTTAAGTTCGACTCCCAAAGTCGCACTTTAATATTTAAGTTTGAACTTAAATCATGCACAATCGTACAAATTTGTACTTACTTATATTACTATAAGGGCAAGTGTCGTTAGTCGTACGACGTATCTGATCAAGCAGCTTTTTAATTGGTTTTGATTCGTCAACTTCCCAGGGTAGCTACTGCTAGATCTAAATTGGGCGCAACTGTCTGGCAGCCGTGTAACTGCATATAGAGGGTTTCGGTTTGGGTTTAAAGTTAGTTCTCGTTATGTGAACACGACGATGTCGATAGGACATGCACTATTAGTATTTATAGGATTACAATTTATTTTTCTTCTACATGCTTCCATTTCCAAGCAAGATAAAACGTACCTTTCTGCTTTTTCTGTCGGTTAGGCTTATCCTTGCAAGTTAGATTTTTGTATCTCAAATTCTTCTTTGGTGACAATTCTTTCTACTCTGGGAATATTCGATTTTGACTTGAGACTTGGCGGATTTTTCATGGGAAACTGAGTTATTCATTCTGTTAGAAATAGTACGTCATGAGTAGCTTCCTATGTGCTATTTTAAAATGAAATAAGTGACCACAATTATTCCCGGGAGAGGGAGAGGGAGATGGAGAGGGAGAGGGAGAGGAAGAGGGAGAGGGAGAGGGAGAGGGAGAGGGAGAGGGAGAGGGAGAGGGAGAGGGAGAGGGAGAGGGAGAGGGAGAGGGAGAGGGAGAGGGAGAGGGAGAGGGAGAGGGAGAGGGAGAGGGAGTCAGTTCTTATATTAGGACTGATACGGGTTTAGACTGATCCGCATATTTCTTTTGTTGTCTGCTTTTTTATCTAAGCTGCTAATAGTTGACACACGTAGTATACCTCTGTTCGCGAGCTAATGGCTATCTCATAGAGCCCAGACTTTAATCCTGGACAATAGACTTGCAGCCCTTTTTAGCGTAATTCATAATCCTTCAATGTTCAAGTTGAAATTTACTTCTAAAGGCAGTAGTGGAGTTTCACCGAGTTTTTTCCTTGTTTTTAAAAACTGTTGATTTTACATTTAGATTGTGTGCATGCAAACTTGAAGACACGTGCACAGGAAATGGAATCGAGCTTGTAGCATTAGCATGTACAAATTGTCCATTTCATCTTTTTATCAGCCATATTGTTGAGGTATGAAGCATTTAATACAGTTCAGTTAACGCATATTGTAGTTTGTATGTCTTATAATCAGTTCATTTAAAAGATTGGTTTAAAATGTCAGTACCGCAAAATTGTTCTATAAAAATTGCGAATCATTTTCCAAGAAAGTTAATTCATTATACCTTGAGAGGGTATCCACAATTTGTAATAAACAATTATGAAATTGTTGAGTTTTGTTTTGAACCGATATTTTGACTAACTTTTCGATTGACCGATGGGGACACAGTCTCAATTATTCACATATTTTAATTAATTTTAATTTTAGTTAATGCCTGTTTATGATTGGTTTAGTTTACTTTGCATTTGTCAATGCTAATAAGATTTCATTTATGAAATTAAGACATACGTTGATTCTTGACAAGCTGGCAAAATTTCTTACCTTTAACAGGCAAGTTTTATTGAGAAAAGAGCAGATTTGATGGAGGAAGAAGGCAAAATAATAACAGTAGAAGAGGTTCTAATACAGGTAGAATGAATTTTCAAATCTCGATTAGATTAATCCAACTATTTGAATTAATGCCTGTTTATGTTAGGGTTTGTTTTCTTTGCAGTCGTTAATGTATATAAAATTTGATTTATGAAAATAAGACAAACGTTGATTCTTGACAAGCTGGCAAAATTTCTAACCCTTTCAGGAAACGGCGAGTCTAATCGAGGAAAGAGTAGATTCGACGAAGAGAAAAGGCAAAATATCAACAGTAGAAGGGGTTCTAGACCAGATACAGAGCCAAAGCCCTTGGCGAGGATTAGTCGTTCTCATTATGCTCATGGCAACACATCTGTCAACAGCGTATGCTATATCTTTTCCTAACTTCGGAGGACATATCCCTTACAGAAGATGGGAATGTATTGGAACCAGTACATTGTGCACAGACCGTCTATCCGTGTACAACTTTACAAATCCTGATGAATCGCCTTACAATAGTGATGTGCTTTGCGGGAAATTCGAGGAAAGCCAATCCCTGGAAGTAGGGATAGATTTCAACTGGGATATGTCGGATGGGAGGAGCACATATGCAGTTGATTGGAATATATACTGCGGGACCGAGTACAAAGGCACTCTCCTCAGCTCACTGTTCTTCGTAGGAGGGTTCATTGGATTGCTAGTAGGAAGCTTCACTTTCGACACATTCGGTCGGAGAACAACAGTAATTGCAGGGTACTTCATAGTCTCTCTTTGTATGATGATCTCTGCAGCTGCACCTAACACGGGCACCTTGATGGCTATAAGAGTTATTATGGGTATTGGATCTTTCATGGGCTTGAGTGGGCTCTACGTTTATATCCTCGAGAATGTGTCTTCGAAATGGAGAGGGTTAGTCAGCTCCATTGTGGCCATATGCTACAATTTAGGATGGACTGCAGTTCTTCCCGCTTTTGGATATCTTATTAAAGGTTGGAAATGGTTGTCAGTAGCTGGAGGTATACTCATGCTCGCTTCAGTCATTGCCTGGTTTTTTGTACCAGACTCACCAAGACATCTGATGGAAAACAAAGATGACAAAGTTGCTGCAATGAATAGTCTGAAAAGAATAGCTACATTGTTTGGTAGGAAGCTTGACCTCGACGAAATAGAATTGGAAAGCTCAAAGAAAGACACCGCTGCACCTTCGTCTTATCTCGAAACCTTAAAGGATTTCATTCACTTTCCCGAACTTCGAATACAGCTGCTGATTCAAATGTTTCAATGGATAATATTAGCCTTCCTTTACTACGGTTTTAATTTCAGCTGGGGCAAGCTTGGTAAGAATATTTACTGGAGCTACGCATTTTCTGGGATCTCAGAGGTTTCAGCTGCTCTGATCTGTTGGTTCGGTCAGGACGTCTTTGGACGGAGGATGACAATGCTTTCCTTCAACATTATAGGTGGGGCATCCTTCCTTCTAGCGCTGATTCCCCTGAGCTTCGGTTCTCAAAACGTGTTGACAATGCAGCAGCTGATGTGCTTGATAGGTAGCATGTTTGTATCGGGAGCATGGGGCACTTCATATCTCTATGTGGCTGAACAATCTCCCACCAACCACCGTGGGAAGATGTCTGCTGTGTGCTCCATTTCAGCCCGGTTAGGTTCTTTTGCAGGACCACAAGCTAGTCTCCTTTTCACGTGGAATAAGTCTGCTACTCTGGTATTCTTCGGAATTCTTTCAATCTCAGCAGGGATGGTTTCACTGAGACTACCTGAAACCAAAGGTAAGAAGTCACCGAACAGTGCCCAAGAAGTGGAAGACAGACGAAAAGCTTTTCTATCTAAAACATAACACCAATGACATCGATTAAGATTCCGACAAAGACCCTTAGACCCTTTGCTAAGATTAAAAATAGACTGTTCAGCTGATGTGCATCACCTCTTGATCCTGCTGAACAGAGCCTCCGCCTTAAAAGTAAACAAATGAGCATCACTTCTTGATTCTACATAGCACTCACGCCGAAGTACGTTCCTGAAAGTGTAAAGGCCGAAAGGTCGACAAAACTTCAAATAACTCAACAATCCAGGGAGTTATAGGAACTGCTTCTAAAGTGAGACTGGGACGAAAAAGAAATGAACTATTTTTTGACGTTGATCAATCATATACTAACTGATTATGAATGACGAATCTCGTTATGTATATATTAATATTAGTTGTAAGTTTTACTTTTAGTATTTATTATATTTCAATTAAAATTGTCAATTTGGTAATCTTTCTTCGCTCTTACGAGTGGGTCAATTACCCGCATTTAAGAATATAATCATTTAGCCTATTAGTATTTCTTATTAACGAAGTCGAAAAATTGTGCAAAAAAGCCGATACAATTTCTCCCATTTTCAATCGAGATGAGATAATTATAGGATGGAAATTTTGCCCAGGGACTAATTAGTCAGTTCATTAATCATAATGATGGTATGAAACTAGATTGAGGTACTGGAAGTCAAAATTCCGAAGAAAATTGGAAAATCATATTGTCCCATTTTCAGTTTTTGAAGATTCAATTTCCAGGACCGAAATATTATACAGTTTTTACCGAATTTCTCACCCGAAGCCAATTAGTCAATTAACTATAGACGGCATATGACACGATTGAGGTGCCGAAAGTTTGATTTCGGTCAGAGGAAACTCACTGCAGAAAGCTTAACCAAACGAAAATTCGTATTTTAAAATTTCTGTCCCATTTTCAAATATGAAAATTTCTAAACACAAATTTGACAGATTGGATGGACGTTTTACCCAGAGACCAATTAGTCAGTTAATTGCTGATGGTATGAAACCAAATTGAGGTACTGGAAGTCCCCAAAAAAAATTGAAGAATCATATTGTCCCATTCTCGATTCTGTCCTATTTTCAGTTTTTGAAGATGAAATTTCTACAGGTCAACGGCGAACCTTTGAAAATAGACATTGCCAACATGCTATGAATATGGGCGCACGTGCTTAGTTCGGTGGTGTCAATTATCAAGTCGAAACTTTAATTTTCCCATGTACTGAACAAATGAAACGGCCTATTAATCAATTGGTTCTTTCACATTTCGCCTTGTCGTATGAAGTTAAATATTAGGGGAATAATAGCAACATTTGTTGGTTCATTTCCAAATCGATGGTTCATTTCCAAATCGATGGTTCATTTCCAAATCTTCTGTTGTTTGAGGTGCCAAATTTATAAAAGTCACTTGCTGCACTACTGTTCAGTTCGATACGAAGAAAAAAGATTTCGACTTAATATCGGAGTGGTGCTAATTAAAACAACTGTTTAAAAAGTCACATGGTATTTGAATTTTATGTATTATTAATAAATATTACGTCGAAATATTTAACTGGTAAAACAGCCCTCACAACTTGGACACGAGATCAAAATATTAAGTCAAAAAATTAGTAAATGTCCATTTAAAAGGAGCTAAAACACTCCGCTGCTATTTGAGGGTTTTAAGTTTAAACATGAACTCTATTTTAGTAAACTCATTAAAAGACTGATAAGTCAACAACAACCCATAGTCATTACGGGTAAACAATTAATTTGATACCATTACTGCAATCAAACAGTCTTAAATTTTGGGAATTTGACTGAACTGGACAACATTAAGTTTCTCGAAGTACACAACAACGTTTTATCGAGCGTGCTAAATCACTCTACACTCGATCTTCGAGATTTTTCTATATATCGGCGAAAACTGTCTTGATTACGTGATATGACCATAATATAATAAGGAAGTTGGTATCATTTCTCCTTAGGGTTAGGGTTTCAGCATATGCTTCAATTAGGTATTGGGTTAGGATCAGATTAGAGGGTTAGGGTTTCGAATAATCATTCAGGGCCACTGCACCGTGTTAAAAAAGTCACGTGACAGTCGAGTGAAGAGTGATTAATCATCATCCACGTTTTATCAAAACATTGAATCAAAGTCTTTAAAAGCGTTCTTCAATCAAAACAGCAGCAAATGTATAATTAAAGAGGTTGAACTCCTGAATAAACGTAAACCACCATTAAATAGGACATAATCTGAGCTTAGGTTTTACCTCGAATTCAACTTATCAATATCAGTACTTATTCATGAATTGGCAGCTAGTATGAGTGGTGAGTAATATGCGGGATAATAGCAGAATATAATTGGTTGAAAAACAATTTAGATGACGGGGAGTGACCCGGAGGAAGCTCCTCAGCTGACGGTTTTCTCTGGTTCATCACATTTAGGAGGTGTCTCAGATTCAGAAGTATCTTCTCCGTGAGATTTGGCTCCGTTAACCGTCTTCTTGCTATCTGATTCGGCAGCAGGATTCTCGTCTCCATTGGCAGCTTTCTCTGGCTCTGACACCACCGGTTGATCAGACTTTTTATCGTCGGACACAACTTGTGGGTCGGGAGTTTTTTCTTCTGATTGAGCAGGGTTGGAAGTAGTTTGGGGATTGCTATGTTTAGGCTGAGTTTCAGCAGTGGTAAGGTCGGCGATCGTTTCCGGCTGTGATTGCTCAGAAATCGAAGTTTTCTTATCATTCTTATCATTCGATACAGTTTCTCCAACTTTGTGACGTTCGTCTTCTCGCTTCTTTAGCAGCGCTGTGTGTAGTCTGAGGAGGAGAAATATTAGAGACAAATTATCGAAAGAAGCTGTGAATTCAGCTATGAAGGCGGCCGGGGAATTAAAGACCGTTTCTGGTATGTTGGATCCATTGATCACTGATGTCTGATTCACTGACTAATCTTTCTCGCGTAATGTGTGATTAACTGTTTGAAGATAACGAAAATATTCTCTTCCGTAATTCACATAATTAAATAATTCGCGCAAGGTTTAGATAAAATACAACTGATTAAGCAGGTCCCTCAATCGAAAATTGGGTGCAAACAAGTTTGTCTTAATTTTAATATCACCCGTCTGACAAAAAAGTCGTGAAGGAAGAATAATCTTCATCATTCTAGAAAAATTGAATATTTCCACTTGAGGCTCCCGTTAGAATTCAATGACATTTCTTTCTGCTTGGCAAATTGCACAACTGACTATTAAAAGGAAAAGTTCACATACTTGTCGCATTCATTCCTCGTACACTTGAGAAGGTATGAGGACATTCTTCCCTCATCCAGAGCAGAGATTCGAATCGTCGTGAGATTCGCTCGATTTACTATCATGTCAGCAAATATCTTCGTGTTCAACATCACCTGAGATGAATTTTATTTTTCAGAATAAATGGTTATGAAGAAGTTATAAATCATATAACATGTTCTGAAACTAACAATATTATAGGGGGAGACGGCAAGTGAGAAATAGTAAAGGTCACACTACTACACACTTCTACACACTACTACACAATAATAACGCTCACACATATTTATATCGTTGAATGCACACAACTAGACAATAACCTCTGTTCATACTTCATGGTAATTGTAGTAAACTGCAAAGCGCAAAACTAATAACTGAAATTTTACAATTTTACAATTAATAGTTTACCATCGTTCACCGATTTAAGTGACTTGACATCACAACAGCGACGGCGAGGATTCGAGGAAGCTTTCAATTAATTTCACCAACACCACATTTGTTAAAAAACGTGAAGGTAAGCAGTTTTACCGTTAGAGAACCGCGGTTCTAAGATAACCGATCAAGTTAAAAGGATGATGGAAGGTACGAGAGAAATTATGATGGAGGGTATGATTTTATATGAAGGCAGGTGGTGTTAAATTTACATCAGATAATGTAGAATTAGGATATCGATTATCGTATTATGTGAATTTTTGAAATAATATAATTATACAAGTTACGGTTGGTATATATTAAGTTAATTATTAATGAAGTTTTAAGGATTTGTGAGCAATATTTGGTGAGTAGGATTACAGGTTCCAAACAGTTCGTGTTTAATGAGGTTATTATCTATTTTATCTCAGTTTGAGTTAGGGTGTTATTTATTTGTGATGCATGTGGTTCAGATTATCTAGCTGTACCGATGGAAAACAATGGCTCTCTCGGACGCGTACCTCGTGACTATAGTATCACGTGACTACGCCAGCAATATAATTGGGTTTTCCTCCCCGCATTTTGTTTTATATAACTTTGAATGTGGGCTGACCGTCGCGTTCGTCAAGTGTAATCGAGAGATAAACAATTCGCATAGTTAAGTTTTCTATGTTTAGTCTTACTTTCCTATTCGAAACTGTTTTTTAGTTTGCAGTATTATTATACAGGTGTCTCTAAATACTAACGGTGGAGCGTGTTTTTACCTTGCTTTTATTTTGCGTGTTTCCTCCATAAAAAGCTGTGTCAATTGTCTATCTTCAACGTTCATCATACTCCATGCGGCAATATAATATATAATAGGCAATAGCTTAATCATTCATAATTGATCGACTTTATATCAATCTACAATGTAGTGTATATATGGAAAGTGGACCGCACCATATGATCCACACCGTGCATAAACAGAAACTGAACATAGACCTACACTGTATATTGACCTATAATACTCTCCTTTTGCATGTATGACAGAACTGTACAACCAATGTTTCAGGGCAGATATAGCATATACTGTGATGATTCTTGGACAATACTAGTATATTACCAGTGCAGTATGATTACAGTATCTAGTAATCCCTTAACCGGGGTATTCTCAAGAACTGCACTGAGGCTTGCTGTTAATTTTGGTTGTGCTTGTTGTATCTCCACAGTTTTTGTATTTTGTTAAAATCGATGTGTAGTACAATCGAGCTGTGTAGTACAATCGAGCTCACACCAAAAATGAAAATTGCGGCTGGTCCTCTTCTCGTCTCCATTCCTAATTGGACCTTCCATCATTTTGGACAGTTACAGTTTGTTCCATCAAAAAATTTACCGATGAAGTATTATTGTAAGGTATGTATTATTTTATGTAATTGTATGTAATTGTATGTTATTGCAGTAATTGTGGGGGGGGGGGGGGGGGTCAACCTCATTTTACCTCATTTTACCTCATCCCAATTTTGCCTTTTTTGGCTGGCCTCATGAGGTAAAATGAGGTAGATTTCGGCAAAAATTTTTAACAGGTAAAATTCTCTAAATCGTCAATTTAGTCACGAAGAAGTATGGAAGGAGTTCTAAATGTGTGCTCCTCTAATATAAACAGTAGGAAATGGTTAACTTTAGTCGAGGTCTCAGGTCTCTACAATGTCGGGAAGTTCCTGCAGGAATTTGCGCATTGCGCTTGAAGCGCAAGATTCACAGCGCCAAAAGCGAAGGTCGTAGAGACATGAGACCTTGACTAAAGTTAACCATTTCATACCATTGCTATAAGAGTATGCCACTTTCAGAGTCCTGAACACACTCCTATATCTCTTAATCGTCAATTATATGAATTTTACCTGTTAAAATATATCATCTTTTACTGATATCAATTTAGTTTAACACGTTAGTTTTAAAAAAGAAAATAATACTTCACACCAAACTAACACACAATATGAGAATATAAAGAGGAAGGTTTTCTTGGAGACCTGGACCATCAAAATAGTGTATATTGCTGAGGTCATTGTCAAGACTCCAGAATAAGAGGGTCTAGTTGTGGGATTATGCTGAATAACAGATATGATAAGTGGTAACATCCTACAAAAGAATGTTAGCTTACTAAGGAATTTTCCTCTTACCGAATTATACAAGAAGTTAACTAAGTTCCTCCTAGTCCTAAGCATTATCTTGTTTCAGAGGGAATGAGTGATTTAAAAAGATGAGGCCAAAGAGTTAGTCGTGAAGAAGGCATTTGTACTCTGTAATTTCTAAGCTAATTTTTTTCGATATTTATAGCTATTTACTGATCTTGTTTTGACGTATCAGCAAGAGATCACTGGACCTCGTTAGTTGTTAGTCATGTTATGCTGATCCAGTTAGTGACGAGCTATGAAGTAATCATTCGACCTCATTTAATACTGATCCTATCAATGACGAGCTATGAAGTAATCAGTGGATCTCGTCAATGCTCATCCTGTCCGGACTGTCAGTGACGAGTTATGAAGAAATAAATGAAGACCTCATTAATTCCTTGTTCCAAGAAGATATTCCTCTGGTAACAACCCCTTTTGGCCTGCTTCTGAACATAACATGAAGATTCGAAAACCTAGTCTACCTAAATTGGAACTTGCTGACTGCATTGGAAAATGGAGAACAATCGAGAAATGATAATCAGTGCCAGGATATAATCAAATTTGAATTCGGAATCCAAGGAAAACCTTCCTTTTTTATATTATCATATTGTGCGTTAGTTTGGTGTGAAGTAATATGTTCTTTTTTAAAACTAACAGTGTTTTAAACTAAATTGATATCAGTTAAAGATGATATATTTTAACAGGTAAAATTCATATAATTGACGATTAAGAGCTGTAGGAGTGTGTTCAGGACTCTGAAAGTGGCATACTCTGATAGCAATGGTATGAAATGGTTAACTTTAGTCAAGGTCTCATGTCTCTACGACCTTCGCTTTTGGCGCAGTGAATCTTGCGCTTCAGCGCAATGCGCAAATTCCTGCAGGAACTTCCCGACATTGTAGAGACCTGAAACCTCGACTAAAGTTAACCATTTCCTACTGTTTATATTAGAAGAGCACACATTTAGAACTCCTTCCAAACTCCTTCGTGACTAAATTGACGATTTAGATTATAATTTTACCTGTTAAAAATTGGTGAAAAATATGGGCGTGGCCCAAGTCAGTATTATACGAAACCGTAGACACAAAAAATTGTTTGGTTGTTCCTGATCCTATAGAGCAACTAATTAGAGGTGATATCTAATTATTTGAACGAAAAGTGGTTTTGTGAACCGCCCTTTATTCTACAGCGAATCATGAACATTGAACATGTACATAAGAACTTAGAATTGTATGAAGTATGAGTTTATATATGAGACAATTTATTATGAAATGACCTTTCACTATGCAATTTCGACTAAATTCATGTAGATATCCAATCCAGTTCCATGCACAACTGTTGTTTACATTTGGTCTAGTTAGACACAATTTGTTTCAGCGTGACTCGATAATCGCAATATCAAACTAAGATATTATTTAAATGGTCCATGTCATGCAATGCGGAAATATCCCCATAAATTGGCAACTGCCAAAGTGACACTAAAGTTATTGCTAATTCCTTTACAAAACTTAGCAAGTGCTATTAACAATTTCTAATGGATCATGGAAATTGAAATGTTCAATTTTCTTTTCATAAATAATAATTATAATGCGAAGTTTTATTTACCCCAAGTTTGGAGAGTAAGTAGGTTAAACTGGGAATGCCCCTTCCCAGGGACCACATCACCCCTAATAAACCATTAAATATCATGGGAGACCATGCACAGCCTCGAATTATAGTATAATGACTTCGAATAAACCTTTTTTGTCTCTAAAAAAAGGCTTAGAAAACTAGATTTATTTACCTCATTTTACCTCATTTTACCTCATCCCAATTTTGCCTTTTTTGGCTGGCCTCATGAGGTAAAATGAGGTTGACCCCCCCCAATTGTATGCAAGTGTATGCAAGTGTATGTAATTATATGTAAGTGTATGTAATTGTATGTAATTGTATGTAATTGTGTGTAATTGTATGTAATTGTATGTAATTGTATGTAATTGGACCACATAAAACACTACCTACCCTCATGACTGCTTTAGACCGGACAACAAGTCTACTGGTAGAGACCCCGTCTTGCTCCTTCTCGTTCAGTCTCAAAGTGCCACCCCCTCTGTCGATCCAAGTCTTTCCTATTGGACAAAACTGGTACAGTTTACAGGATGTCTGCATTATTCTCTTCTCGTCTTCTTCTCCCGATGTCACCTGTAAAAGTATAAGAGGTAAAAAGACAGTCGATTAACATATTCCCTGACCGGCTGACCTAACATAAAATTAAGAAATTCCAATAATAAGTTTTGAGAGCATTCCAGAGCGAGGCATGTCAGAGCGAAGGATCTGGGGTCAATACCTCTAGTTCCTTAAGAGAGACTTTCTTCGGTTCAACGGGTGCTTTAGAACTGCTTGTAAATGTTTTAGAACTGGTTGCAAAGGTTGTAGAACTGCTTTCTGCTGACGACTCTTCCTCCTCTTTCTTATTTTCATCTGAGTTCTCAGGTTTATCTGGTGTCTTAAATGTCTCCTGTGCTGCTTTCTCGCCCTCCTTTACAGGGCCCTCTTTCACAGCTGAGGCTATAACTCTGTCTGACATGTTACCTCCAAACACGAAACCTGACAGTTTAACCAAATTAAAATATTCACAGGATTCCTCCTCAATAAATAAGACAAAAAGGTAACACGATCAATGTGCCATAATCCTTCAGATATAAGGAGTATTTAGGAGTATTTAGGAGTAATTAGGAGTTACAAACCACTGCTTTTAGAAGAGGAGGAGGACCCGAATATTCCCCCACTGCTAGCATTACTCAATGCAGCAGCGAATATATTAGTTCCTTTGCTAATGCCCGCAAAACTGCCCGAACCTGGGGAGAAAGATCATTTAAGGATCAGGTTTTTAAAAAAAACAGATCAACGTTCTATGCACGATAATTTTCACACATATTTATGTCGTTTATCAGACAAAATCAAAGCAATAACCATATTGTGTATAAACGACTTACCATTAGATGGAGAAAACAATGATGATCCAGATGCTAACGAAAAACCACTACTAAGAATGGAAGTGCTGTTCCCATTAACTTTACTCTTGTCTGATGATAGACCAACTTTTTCTGTGATGCTGACGCCCCCAATTTTAGTAGGCGGTGATAAAAATGAAGGGGGTTCAGGGACCCTCTCCACTTTCTTCTCAGTGGTAGGGGATGCTTCTGTAGGGGCAGCGGCGGTGGGGGGTTCTGCGGCCCCAGGAGAATCACGCCGTTTAGCATTAGGACTTTCTTCTGGGTCCTCCGACGGATGCCGCTTGAGAGATCCTGTCATCACCCTAACATAAGTTTTTTATTAGATTTTGTAATTCTAAAATCGTTTGTTTAAGCTTCTGATTATAATCGGATAATCAGGGCAGTAACGATTTCTCAAATTTTAATCGAATTAAAATTTTCTTCCATCATTGGGTGGCACAGCAATCATCTAATCTGATTGTTTAAAAGTTAAAAACCATGGCCATGTTAACCGGTGCATGAGTATAATAGACACTAATATCATATTTCAATTTTACCCTTTAATTAACTTCCCGGGACACGGTAGGTGGTAATTAGCTAGACCAGTGTCTGGCCAACAATTATCACGACTCATCTAATCTTCTTCAAACCTGAATTCTCCTTTCGATTACGAGGTGCCTATGGCAAATTCCCTGTCTGCTAGCCTAAACCTTTCTTAGTTCCACCGGTCTTGTCCTTGAATTCCCGTTTCCTAATATATAGGAGGATACAGGTGGACTGAACTTTTAAATCTCAAATAGATTAATCCTCGTATATTAATGATTGCCTGTTTATGAATGGTTTTGTTTGCTTTGCAGTTGTTAATGCTAATAAGATTGCATTTATGAAAATAAGAAATGCAAGCTGGACAAATATCTAACCTTTAAACAATTTAAGGAAATGACAAGTGTAATCGAGGAAAGAGCAGATTCGATGGTTAAAGAAGGCAAAATATCAACAGTAGAAGGGGTTCTAGACCAGATACAGAGCCAAAGCCCTTGGCGAGGATTAGTGATTCTCATTCTGCTTATGGCAACACATCTGTCAACAGCCTATGCTATATCTTTTCCTAACTTCGGAGGATATATCCCTTACAGTCGATGGGAATGTGTTGGGACAAGTACATTGTGCACAGACCGTGTATCAAGGTACAGCGATGCAAATCCAGATAAATCGCCCTACAACAGTGATGTGCTTTGCGGGATTTTCGAAGACAGCCAATCCCTGATCGTAGAGATAGATTTCAACTGGGATATGTCGGATGAGAGGAGCACATATGCAGTTGATTGGAATATATACTGCGGGACCGAGTACAAAGGCACTCTCCTCAGCTCACTGTTCTTCGTAGGAGGGTTCATTGGATTGCTAGTAGGAAGCTTCACTTTCGACACATTCGGTCGGAGAACAACAGTCATTGCAGGGTACTTCATAGTCTCTCTTTGTATGATGATCTCTGCAGCTGCACCTAACACGGGCACCTTGATGGCTATAAGAGTTATTATGGGTATTGGATCTTACATGGGCTTGAGTGGGCTCTACGTTTATATCCTCGAGAATGTGTCTTCGAAATGGAGAGGGTTAGTCAGCTCCATTGTGGCCATAGGCTACAATCTGGGATGGACTGCAGTTCTTCCCGCTTTTGGATATCTTATTAAAGGTTGGAAATGGTTGTCAGTAGCTGGCGGTATACTCATGCTCGCTTCGGTCATTGCCTGGTTTTTTGTACCAGACTCACCAAGACATCTGATGGAAAACAAAGATGACAAAGTTGCTGCAATGAATAGCCTGAAAAGAATAGCTACATTGTTTGGTAGGAAGCTTGACCTCGACGAAATAGAATTGGAAAGCTCAAAGAAAGACACCGCTGCACCTCCGTCTTATCTCGAAACCTTAAAGGATTTCATTCACTTCCCCGAACTCCGAATACAGCTGCTGATTCAAATGTTTCAATGGATAATATTAGCCTTCCTTTACTACGGTTTTAATTTCAGCTGGGGCAAGCTTGGTAAGAATATCTACTGGAGCTACGCATTTTCTGGGATCTCAGAGGTTTCAGCTGCTCTGATCTGTTGGTTCGGTCAGGACGTCTTTGGACGGAGGATGACAATGCTTTCCTTCAACATTATAGGTGGGGCATCCTTCCTTCTAGCGCTGATTCCCCTGAGCTTCGGTTCTCAAAACGTGTTGACAATGCAGCAGCTGATGTGCTTGATAGGTAGCATGTTTGTATCGGGAGCATGGGGCACTTCATATCTCTATGTGGCTGAACAATCTCCCACCAACCACCGTGGGAAGATGTCTGCTGTGTGCTCCATTTCAGCCCGGTTAGGTTCTTTTGCAGGACCACAAGCTAGTCTCCTTTTCACGTGGAATAAGTCTGCTACTCTGGTATTCTTCGGAATTCTTTCAATCTCCGCAGGGATGGTTTCACTGAGACTACCTGAAACCAAAGGTAAGAAGTCACCGAACAGTGCCCAAGAAGTGGAAGACAGACGAAAAGTTTTTCTCTCTAAAACATAACACCAATGACATCGATTAAGATTCCGGCAAAGACCCTAAGACCCTAAGACCCTTTGCTAAGATTCAAAATATACTGTTCAGCTGGCTACCAGTATGCAATCGTCTAGAAGTAGAACTTAGCGTAAAATTGTTTTTGTATGTAACTGAAATCGTTATTTTAAATTTTGTTGGACCCTCCACATGCACATGGTGATACTGATAATATCTATTACATATTTTACATATACGTTTTTTTAATGACTTATAACATATTTGTACGTCATGTAATTTTTTATTTTTAGTTGACCCTAGAATCAGAATTTTTAATATTTTTGTTTTTAAACCAACATTTTAAACATGAATGAAAACGTTGTTTCAATGAGTATCATATTTGTCATAATATCATATTATGATATTATATTGTTTTTAACTGATTCAAATTCTGTCAGCAAGTTGAAAATGACAACCCAGATCAAGATTCAGCAAATATTGAAGCTTGGTCTGCACCTAGCCTTGCCAAGTTCAAATGATTTGTGTTAAGTAAGATCAGTTGACAGTAAAGATTTTGTAATGTAAAGCTTACTGTTTGGGTAGCTGAAAATTGGCATGTGGTGGATTCTACAGTGGTGAAATCAAAAAAGAAGCGTATCCCTAATATACAAAGTTGCAGGAAACAAATATAAGACCCTGTACAGTGACAACCATATCTTTATATCGAGCTTAAACATCTAAATATTGCTCGATTTAATAAATCAGCAGTACATATTATGTTACTACGATGATCATTGCAATATTATTTGATATCTATAACAACTTAGCTTAAAGAATATGTGATCACAAACGTGGTTAAATTGTAAAAATAACAATACAAAGCGATCATGCCCAAATTAATAATAACGATTACCTTGCTGCCTTGTATTGTAGAGTTATCTTGTAAAACACATGCTTTACATCACATTATAGCTCTCAATTGAGCGATTCCTTAAGCCTAGAGCTATATACATTGGACAATGACTATCTTCAGACCAAGTGTTTAGTAGGGCAAGCATCATATTATATTAAAATTATCAAACGGTTAGCAAATCAGAGGTGCGAATCTGCACGTGAGTAAACATAAATATTCTGACTTTAGTTGGGTAGTTTTAAGTTTAACACGTGTGGTTATAATGCTGCACGTCTCAAGTAGTCGGGAGTAGCGACGAAATAGTTTTCTGCGCTCAGGTATTTCCCTCGGTGTATTTCTGAAATAAATTCAGATTGTGAAGACATGTGATTTTTTACTTAAAACTGTAGAAGATCTTGACTTCCTGATATAATGACACAATTCTACAAAACACGAACAGCCACAAGGAGTGAGGTAAGTATGCGGACCTATAAAGTTGAGGAGCTGGTGAATGTACTTCTGTAGGACTGTAATAGCGTTGTTATCCAGCTCGGTAAAAGCCAGGAGTTCCCCGATCCTGGTGAAAAGTCTGAGTAGATGTTCAGTTCCGTAGATATCGCACACTGACATGCCTGAAACCATGAAGTTAGCGCTCACAACGGTCAGTATACCGTAAAACTGTTTTAACCACTTCAAAACTTATAAGGTACAGCTACACCGGCTAGGGTTATTATATCGTATTAATCTTTCGACCACTTCAAGACACTGCATAGGGGATGGATAGAAGCTTATCAACATCACTAATAAAATCGGGTACAAACCTTTGTGTTCCTCCATGGTATCAGCATACTGCGGTCTCTCAAACTTGTACAGGAGCTGCATACCCAGTAATCTAGAGAAATACCCTAACAGTCCCTCAAGCACGTGGTCCCTGTTTATATCACTTGTCTTGTTCACTGACAGCGAGTATACCCTGAACTCATCTGACGGATGAACATGTGAATTCTAAGAAGTACATATTCCAGAACAGGTTGAACAGGTTAAAGTTTAAACATTTGATCTTGGTACTGGGAAATATACAGTATTAACGGCTCAAAATTTGCACGTCATATTAAGTTACAATCAAAGTAAACACGGTTAACATACCCAGAACAACTGAAACAGGAGAGGCAGCGGGGAGTTTCAGTAGATGTTTCTGTTGCGTAATTAAATCCCAGTCGTCCAGCACGGCTAGTTTTAGCTGACTGGGAAGTTCTATATGAATGCAAACCTGGGAATAAAGGGGTGTTTTTCTTCAGTTATTGATGACATTACCATGACCATATTAAGATAACATAGAAGCTGGTCGCTGGACGCAAGATTCGACCGCGACAGGCCTAAATTCCCGGATTTATAATAAATTGCAGTAATTAAAGTATCTTGTGGTAAACTATGTTATATTGTTATAACAGTCAACCCAATTATCAGTGAATTGATGATTGAAGAATAATATAGTCGATCAATTTCGCGATTTAAAATTTGAATATGAAAGGCGCGCGGTGTACTCTACAGAAATTACGATTTCAGTAGACCCTTTGACGCGTTTTCAGCCAAATTGCCAGTAGGACAGTAGGTACGGTTTATTCATCGAATGTTGACCGCCAAATGAAATGGAAACAATCAAATAAGTAATAACACAATATTGAAAACAAAGTCTGGATCAGTATTTACCTTAGAGGCAAAAGCGTCCTCTGACTCGACATTTTCTATGAATTTCATCTTCTTGTTCTTTCCTCTATTCTGTGTTTTCTTGTGGTGTTTTATCAGTTCAGTCTGTTTCTGAATTTCAGCAAACGTTACTATAAAACAAATGAGCATTCTACAGTTTGCTAATGGAACGGAAAAGAAATCATATGATTACAGCGTGTCATTTAACCAACCTTAAGGTTTATGTCGTTGAATTTAAGGATACGAGTTTCTGGGATCCATTCGTCCCACTTCTGACTCCAACCGTTGTAATGTATCAGATATAGATCCACCTAAAAAGAGAACGATGTAGATAATTATTTCAAATAACAAATATTTCATAAATAATTGAGATCGTGCTTGATCTAACAGAAACAGTCAGAGATTTGTTAGAGAGATTTATTAATATTTAATCCACAGTAATTAGATTAAGCGATAAAAGCCGAAAGGATTAGGTCAATCCAATCGCACGTATGAATTGTAAGTCGACTTCCAATTAGGGGTCGTTCACATATTACGTAATCAGCCGAGGAGTAGAGGGGGTTTTCCAAATGATTACGCTAGTGTTATTTGGCACAATAGCTATGTGTAAAACTGATTACGGAGGGGGAGGGGGGAGGTTAAAAATTTGCCAAAAATTGATAACGTAATATGTGAACGACCCCTTATTAGCTTATTAGTCGAGTTACCCACATCCAGAAAGGCAGCAGATCGGCTGATAATCTGCAAGGAAATTTTGGAGGAATTTTGGAGGAAATAGGAGTATATTTTTAGAAGACCTGACTTTTTAGGGCATCAAAAAATTTGTAAGGGAAAAAATTTAAGTGCGAGGTAATTTACAACTTTCTAAAGATGTGGGGTCAATTTATAATTCAATGGTTTGTCCGTGATATAACCAAAAGCTCTGGCAACAAGATTTCAATTATAGGAGAATAAAACTAACCTCTCCTTCAGTGTTTACTTTGTGGCATCTGGCTTCATAAAGAAGGGGGCCATGGAAACAGAGGACCCTTTCTCCCTCCTCGAACTTGCTCATGCCATGCTTTTAAATACTTTGTCAGCAAAAATGTTATAATTAAAGATCGCATACATGTGATGAAATGTTTCAATTCGACAGAAAAGCTTTGACACATACAGGGTGGGCCAAAAGTCAGTATTTTTCATCAAAACTAGTGAACACTGAACATGGTGAGAAAAGTACATCGAAAATGGTAACTTTAAGTGAAAATGGTGCAGTGAGAAAGATACATTGATACTGGTAATTTTTGGTGAACATGGCGAGTAAGGTGCATCAGTTTACTTTAGTGAACATGGCGAGTAAGATACATCAAAACTGAGCTCTTGGACCTTGGTACACATTTACTATTTCAATTTGATACTTTGAAAATAAAAAATAGGGTTTCCAAATTGTAAAATTTCACCATTGAATTCCCCACACCCGCCAATATTTGTGTGTATGACGAACAACAAATTAAACAAACAGATACAATAACGAATTCTATGTTAAAGATACTTTGATCACGATGGGAGATTTACCTGACAGACACGATAAGGGGTCGTTCACATATTACGTATTCAGCCGATGGGAAGGGGGGGGGGGGGGGGGGGGGGGGGGTTGGGGGTTTCCAAATGATTACGCTCTAGTGTAATTTTGACACAATAGCTATTTGTAAAACTGATTACGGGGGATTTCAAACAGATACAGCCACGACGATGCTCCATTACTTAATGTCAATAAAGGCACCAAATCATAATGTCTCACCATCTTATCAAGAACTGAACAACATCTTGCAGGACTGCCAATTTAGTTTCTCACCATAGTGGATTGTATTATTTCTTGTAGGATTACTCATTTTTCTTGCAGCATAGGAGCTCTGTGAACATTTGAATCATTTCTTCCCAGAGTGAGTTTTTATGTGTTTAGTAAGATGCATTGCTTGTCTTGCAGCATATGAACACAAAGAACATTTGAAGGGTTTCTCACCTGAGTGAGTTCTCATTATATGTCTAGTAAGATGACTTGCATGTTTTGTAGCAAATGAACACTCAGAACACTTGAAGGGTTTCTCACCAGAGTGAGTTCTCATATGTACAGTAAGATCACCTGCTCGTTTTGTAGCATATGAACACTCAGAACATTTAAAGGGTTTCTCACCTGAGTGAGATCTCATATGTACAGTAAGATTATCTGCTTGTCTTGCAGCATATGAACACTCAGAACACTTGAAGGGTTTCTCACCTGAGTGAGTTTTCATATGTTCAGTAAGATGACCTGCTTGTCTTGCAGCATATAAACACTCAGAACACTTGAAGGGTTTCTCACCTGAGTGAGTTTTCATATGTTCAGTAAGATGACCTGATTGTCTTGCAGCATATGAACACTCAGAACACTTGAAGGGTTTCTCACCTGAGTGAGTTCTCATTATATGTCTATTATAGAGTGGTTCATTTTACCAAAAGTTGTTCAAATAATTAGAGATCATATCTTATTAGTTGCTCTATAGGGTCAGGAACGACCAAAAAAATTTTTTTTGACTCTAGTGTTCCGGATATGGTACGCATATGCCACGCCCATTTTTATAGCGTTTCTTATACAGGTAAAATTGTCTAAATCGTCAATTTAGTCATGAAGGAGTATGGAAGGAGTTCTGAATGTGTGCTCCTCTAATATAAACAGTAGAAAATGGTTAATTTTAGTCGAGGTCTCAGGTCTCTACAATGTCGGGAAGTTCCTGCAGGAGTTTGCGCATTGCGCATTGCACGGGATTCACTGCGCCAAAAGTGAAGGTCGTAGAGACATGAGACCTTGACTAAAGTTAACCATTTCATACCATTACTATAGGAGTGTGACACTTTCAGAGTCCTGAACACATTCCTATATCACTTAATCGTCAATTATATGAATTTTACCTGTTAAAATATATCATCTTTAACTGATATCAATTTAGTTTAACACTGTTAGCTTTTAAATAGGAAATAATTTACTTCACACCAAACTAACACACAATATGAGAGTATACAAAAAGGAGGCTTTCTTGGAGACTACCTGGACCGAGCATCAAAATAGTACACATTGCTGCAGTCATTGTCGAGACTCAAAAATGAAAGGGTCTAGTTGTGGGATTATACTGGATAACAGACATGATGAGTGGTAACATCCTACAAAAGAATGTTAGCTTACTAAGTAATTTTCCTCTTAGCGAATCCTACGAGAACTTAACTAAGTTCCTCCTAGTCCTAAGCATTATCTTGTTTCAGAGGGACTGAGTCATTTTAAAAGATGAAGCCAAAGAAGAGATTCATCTGTTCCGTTCATAGCCGATAGTTGTGAAGAAGGCATTTGCACTCTGTAATTTGTAAGCAAATTGTTTCGATATTTATAGTTATTTACTGACCTTGACGAATCAGCAAGATATCACTGGACCTCGTTAGTCGTTAGTCATGTTATGCTGATCCAGTAATCGAGCTATCAAGTAATCATTCGATCTCATTAATACTGATCCTATCAATGACGAGCTATGAAGTAATCAGTGGATCTCGTCAATACTCATCCTGTCAGTGACGAGTTATGAAGAAATCAACGTTCAAGACCTCATTAATTTCCTTGTTCCACGAAGATATTCAATTCCTCTGGTAACCAAACCCCTTCTGGCCTACTTCTGAACATATGAAGATTCGAAAACCAAGTCTACCTAAATCTGAACTTTCTGACTGCGTTGGAGAATGGAGAACAATCGAGAAATGATAACCAGTGCCAGGATATAATCAAAGTTCAATTTGGAATCTTTTTGTATTTCTTTATGCTGTGTGTAAGTTTGGTGTGAAGCATTATTTTCTTTTCTAAAGCTAACAGTGTTAAACTAAATTGATATCAGTTAAAGATGATATATTTTAACAGGTAAAATTAATATAATTGACGATTAAGTGATATAAGAATGCGTTCAGGACTCTGAAAGTGTCACACTCCTATAGTAATGGTATGAAAAGGTTAACTTTAGTCAAGGTCTCATGTCTCTACGACCTTCACTTTTGGCGCAGTGAATCCCGCGCTTCAGCGCAATGCGCAAACTCCTGCAGGAACTTCCCGACATTGTAGAGACCTGAGACCTCGACTAAAGTTAACCATTTTCTACTGTTTATATTAGAGGAGCACACATTCAGAACTCCTTCCATACTCCTTTATGACTAAATTGACGATTTAGACAATTTTACCTGTATAAGAAACGCTATAAAAATGGGTGTGGCATATGCGGACCATATCCGGAACACAAGAGTCAAAAAAAATTTTTTGGTCGTTCCTGACCCTATAAATCAACTAATAAGATATGATCTCTAATTATTTGAAAAACTTTTGGTAAAATGAACCACTCTAGTCTATTAAGATGACCTGCTTGTCTTACAGCATATGAACACTCTGAACACTTGAAGGGTTTCTCTCCAGAATGAATTCTCATATGGATCTTAAGATTACTTGATTGTCTAGTAGCAAATGAACACACAGAACATTTAAAGGGTTTCTCTCCAGAATGAATTCTCATATGTGTAGTTAGACTATATTTATGTTTTGTAGCAAATGAACACTCTGAACATCTGAAGGGTTTCACAGACAAACTCTCAGTAGAAGACATAACTAATGTCTTCTCAGGATCTGTTCCAGTCAAGTTATTTGAAGTATCAAAGTAGTCAGGTACTTCTGGGCTGCTATGATCATGGTGCTGTTTTACATGTTCTATTAACTGAGTGTCTGAGTAAACATGTTCAGCACAAACTGGACAGATAAAAATAGATGGTTTATCTGATTCAGATGTAAGTTCTTGTTTTATTGTACAATCTGATTTTGTTTTATGTTCTTTGATGTGCTCAACAAAAAAGTCTTCTGAAAAGTAATGTGCTCCACACATTGGGCAGAGGAAACCGTTGGACTTTTCTGGGTTCTCCACTTGCTCTGATTTGATCTCTTGCTTACAGTCTTTAGACATTCTGAGGTATTGAAATATAAGAGATATATAAAGTCATTTATTTTAAATTCGATCGTGAAGAAATTTGGCATTGATAACGTGCCTTATCCAAGTTTATTTAAGTTACCAAAACTATCAATCACCATTTTTCATCAAAACTAGTGAACATGGTGAGAAAGGTACATTGAAACTGGTAACTTTTAAAAGTAAACTTGGCGACTAAGGTACATCAAAACTAGTAACTTTTGGTGATCATGGAGAGTAAGGTACATCGAAACTGGTAACTTTTGGTGAACATGGCGAGTAATATAAATAAAAACTAGCAATTTTTGGTGATCATGTGCATGGCCATTGGCCATGGTGAGAAATGAACGTCGAAACTGGTAACTTTTGGTGAACATGGCCGATGGCGAGTAAGGACATCAAAATTTGTTAGTTTTGGTGAACATGGCGGGTAAGGTACATCAAAACTAGTAACTTTTGGTGAATATGGTGAGAAAGGTACATCCAAACTGGTAACTTTTGTCTTTTAGTGAACATGGCGAGTAAGGTACATCAAATTTAGTAACTTTTGGTGATCATGGTAAGAAAATTAAATTGGTGAAAAATGGTGAAAGATTTTTATGGTGAATCGGTTATCCAAATTGTAAAATTTCACCATTTTTCACCATTGAATATCCCCAGGCCAACGTAGGGGTACTGACTTTTGGCCCACCCTGTATATAAATTTGTTTTGAAATCGGGAGAACTTAAATTTGATGACATAACTTATCAATTCGGTCAGCAATTAATATAATAATACATTGGTAAAAATACTTTAAAAGCACATAATCAAATAACATGATAAATAAAAATAATAAATTAGAATTTAAAAGTTCAGTCTCTGTTCAGTCTCTGTCCCATTTTTTTATTACAGAGACTCTCTGTAATAAAAAAATGGGAAGAGCGATTTTCGGCTTTCCGGAATAAATGGCGAAACCTCATAATTCGTCAATTGTCGTCTACTTTTTGGGATACCCAAGTTGATCGGCGAGAAAACTTCAGTAAATCGCGAAAATGGTACAAACTTTTTTCCATAATTTTTAA